TTGACCTCTGGACTTGTCTTCGTGGTGAAAGTTGACATCAAAGTTAATAAAAAATTACGATTTTTGTAAAATAATTTTTTTTTATATTTTTAACTTAATAATGCTCTAACTTTTTCAAAAATGAACATATCAATATAAATTTTTTTTATATAGATGCTTGATGTCTTTACTTATCATTTGGTATATTTTTTTTGTAAATCTGACACTTAACCTGCCCACAGGGGGGGATTTAAAAATTTTCATTCGACATACTTTGTCTTAATCGAGATATTAATAAGGAACCATCAGATCAAGAAGCTTTTGGAATAAAACACCAATTTTTTTTAAATTAAACACTATCTAAAGATTTGCATCGAAGCGTTTATTTTTGATAGTGATTTTAATCATTGTCAGATATCATTATACTTGATCCAACTATGCCACGTCACCACTGTGCCGCGACCCCCCTGTGCTGGGTTTTTTTTTTATATTTCGTTTAATTAAATAGATTATAATAAATTCATCACTTTGTTTCAATAAGCAAAAATACACAATTTTTTATTAAAACAATCTTAACAAAATTTTAGACACAAGTTTATAAATTGTTTAAGGATTTGAGATATTAAATGTACTTATTAAATGGTGCCATACCCTTAGGATATTCAATTAGTATGACTGAATCATCTTTCAATTCACATTCGACATCTAATTTTAAACAAAAATAAATTGTTAAAAAAAGAGTTGTGAATACATCTTTCGTACTGATTGAATAAAATAATAGTACATAATTTTATAACCGTAGTGACAATGTTCAAAAAAAATGTCGGTTTTGTACGGTTAAAGCAAAGTTTAAACTTTTAAACATTTTGGTTTCGCGAGGGAGTCTCGCCAGGCAATTCATGACTTTCTGGGCCCGAACTTTAGACGTTTGTCTATGAAAAGGCCCAGATAAGTTATGGAGTCCATAAGCGGGATCTCCACCCCCAGCACGGCGAGCCGTGGAGGAGTGAACTTGTACCTGCCCGTGAACAAGACCGCTTCCGTGTTGTCCAGGGCGAGGCTCAGTCCACTCCCCTCCTGCTGGATCCAGGTGGTGACTGCGCTGAGCGCGCATTTCACACGAGATCCAGCCTCCTCGGACGAGGCGCCTTCCGCCACCACCATCGTGTCGTCCACACAGCAGACGACACGCACGTGCGGTGGTAGTGGAACGCGGAACACCGCGTCGTACGCGATGTTCCACGGCAGAGACCCGAGAACTGACCTTTGCGGGACGCCTCCCGTAACAGGTCTGATTCTCGGGCTCGCGGCGCTCTCGTAAGAGATGACCCGATTGCTAAAGTACGATCGGATCATCCGCCCGAGGTAAGGAGGCACCCGAAACGCGTCCAGCGCTCCGAGGCTGTGACCATCGCACGGAGTTAAACGCGTTTCGGATGTCCAGGCTCACCGCCACCCCGAAGCCCTGCTCAGTTTTGGCCATGAGGGCCAAGTCCCTGAAGAGGGAGGCCGCATCGTCCGTCGAACTCCCCATCCTGAAACCATACTGGCCGCTCGAGGATCTTCCCCAAGTCGTCCAACATGCAAAGCGGTCGGTACAACGAGGGGAGACCCTCGGGCTTGTCACCCTTCCTCAGAAGCACCAGCCTGGCCTTCTTCCACTTTGTGGGGAATTCACCTGCCTCTCGGAAGGTTCGTGACGGCGCGTATCCAATCCGGGGCGCGGTCGTGGACCAACCCCCACACCCGGTTTGAAATCGCGTCGGGGCCGGGTCACGCGCCACCGCGTCAGCTACCTCTTGGCTGGTGAATTCCACCACCGACACGTCGTCCCCGAACGCCGGGGGAGGCAGCGGTGGATGTGTCGGAAAGAGCGTGTCTACCGCCCTTTCCAGCACTTCCGCCTCCAGCTAACCGGAAGCCGATGGACCGCGGAGCTTCCGAATAACGACCCGATAGGGTTTCTACCACGACTTTACGAGTTCGGCCCAGTATTTCGCTTTGGCCCGCCTGATGGCGAGCTTCAGCTCTTTGTGGGCCGACCTCGGGTCCCGCGGCCGACGGTTGGAGCGCGTCATGGCCCTCCTGATCCTGACGCACTCCTCACGCCTGGCCACCACCTCGGCATTCCACCAGTGGACTGGCGATCCGCGAGTCGACGGCGGTCGTTTGGCCGGAAGGGCGAATTCGCAGGCTGCGACCACCCTCCGGTCCAACTCCTTCGCCGCTTCGATCGCGGAGAAGTGTCGGTCCGGTCCATGGTAGACCTAATGTTGAGAAGCCAGGAGGAGTGGTCACTGGTCCAGGCATAAAAGAATAAAGATTATTATGAAAAAAAAATTAATAAAAATACCTTTTTACTTATTATAGTTCTTACTTATACTTATTTTATTGTCTACAACCAGTTCATAGAATTAAAGCGTTTTATGATAATAATGTATAGAATATAATTTTAAATTATTTTGTCTTTCGTACATATCGCTGAGTAAATTTTGTAGTTATATTGATTCCTAATTATAATAGCATATTATAAAAAAATGAAAGTATTATAGTGCATTATAAAATTATTACTTTCTTGTTTAATGTCTTCTTTTATCTCTACAACATTCGTATGTAGTAAAGAAGGATATTTTGTAATACCTGGACATAATAAAATAGTTGTTAGATCAATTTAAAAACTATTTAGATTAAAAAATAGTAGTACTATGAAGTATTAGAGAAACTTTACCATGTTGCTGAATTTCTAGTTCTATTTTATACTTATTTTATGAATTATACATAAACCTTTCATATGACATAGTTTTTGTAAAAGAGTAAAAGAGTAAAGAATAGAAGTTTTTCAACTTAACTTTTGAAAATGTTCTGAAAATACTCCGACTTTTAAATATGTAAAGTTACAGATGATGATAAATTCTACAAGTTCAAAAAAAAACATTTTTCTCGACACCTTTTCTTCTATTGGGAATTGGCTGCCGAATTGAACGAAAAATGTTATTTTTATGTAAAAATCACTGTTTAATGTGTTAATATANTTTTTCTCGACACCTTTTCTTCTAATGGGAATTAGCTGCCGAATTGAACGAAAAATGTTATTTTTATGTAAAAATCACTGTTAATGTGTTAATATTTTCATACTTAACCGTGCTATAACTAAATTAAAAATTAATAAAGCAAAATAATTTTTTTTTATTGAAATCTTATGTATTGTCCTTTTATTTGATATACATTTTTAAAAAATCTGACCATTTATCTTCAAACAGAGGGAGATTCTAAATTACAATTTTTACACACAAGTTAAACTTATTGAGATTAAAAAATAATGTAGTGTCAAGTATTAAAGAAACTTTACCATGTTGCTGAATTTCTAGTTCTAATTTATACTTATTTTATTGTCTACAACCAGATCATAGAATTAAAACATTTATAATAATAATGTATAGAATAAAATTTATTCTATTATTTTAAAACTGTTTTAGCTTTCATACAAATCGCTGAGTACATTTTGTAGTTTTCCATAAAATATGGACAACGTATTATGGATGAGTATATTGATTCCTAATTCTAATAACACAAAAAATTAAAAGTATTATAGTGTATTGCAAAATTATTACTTTCTTGTTGAATGCCTTCTTTATTCTCTACATCATTGGTATGTAGTATCGAAGGATATTTTGTAAGATCTAGACATATTAAAATGGTTGTTAGATCAATTTAAACTTATTTAAATTAAAATATAGTGTAGTGTCAAGTATTAGAGAAACTTTACCATGTTGCTGATTTTCTTCTTGCGCATTTACTTCATTGGTATTTTGTACAAAATTTATTGTAAATTTTTGTGCGATATCTAAGTATGTTTAAAACAAATTATTTTAAATAAAAATAGCATTTCATAAATAAATTCTAAAAGTTCAATAAAAAAATTTTTCTCGACACCTTTTCTTCTAATGGGAATTGGCTGCCGAATTGAACGAAAAATGTTATTTTTATGTAAAAATCACTGTTTAATGTGTTAATATATTTTTACTTAACCGTGCTATAACTAAATTAAAAATTAACAAAGCAAAATNAGCGTGCTATAACTAAATTAAAAATTAACAAAGCAAAATAATTTTTTTTGATTGAAATCTTATGTATAAACTTTACCATGTTGCTTATTTTCTTCTTGCGGATTTACTTCATTGGTATTTTGTACAAAATTTTATATTCCATGAATTCCATAATGAATTAAAATCTAATTTTTTTAGTACACAAAATGGCTTATTTACATCTAGTTTAAGACGTCTTGAGTATAATAATTTCGCGATAGTCACTAATATATCTCTAATTGAATCCGATTTGTTTTTCAACACAGTCAATAAAGATTCATCTTTCTGTATTTTTGTTAGTATACTGCTTAAAATAAAACGGGTCTTTTTCAGGGTGTTCAAGGGTCTATAATGATATTTTTCTATTGCGTATAAAGCTCCTTTCATATATTTTGCCATTGGAACCATTTCAATCATTTTTGTTAAAAGTGTGACTGTACAATTATACGCAGTATCATTGCCAGAATATAATAGAACAGAGCATTGTTCTTGAAATTTAATTAATGATAAGAGCATTAAATTTAAATCATAAGCGTAAGAACATCCAAGGAATATCGTTGCTTGCCGTATGAAATTATTACAATTATATATTGTTACAGGTTCAATAAATAAATTTTTCAGTTCATAGTGTTTGCCTGAATAATTAATTAATTCAACATCATTTATATTATTCCATCCTGGTTGACGTAGAAAATCATTTATGATGACCGCATTTTCTTTTTTAGTAAGTGTTCCATCAGTATGTAAAAAAGCGAAAATTATACATAAGTACACTTGAATATTAAGTATTAATACCATTTTGATTTTTGAAAAGTTACCATTCAATTTTAGATTCGATGCGAATCTGAGAAGATATTAATTTTACCATAATGTGATTATATATTATTTTTGATATTATTGTGCCTCTTACTTTTTTTTCTCAACTTTCACTGGACTGATTATTTAAACGATGAGTCAAAAAATCCCAAAAAGTATATAATTGAAGACATTACCCTTAAGAATTAAAAATTTTTCTTTCGTTCTCCGTAAGTGGTGAAAATCCCCCGAAAATTACTATTTTTGAAATCAGTAAATTTCATCATTTTTTTTTTTTTAATTACCTTAACTTATTGAAAAATTACCGAATCTAAAAAATTCTGTTTTATAATGAAATCTTAGATATTTCCTTTTCATTTGATATAATTTTTTTGATAATCTGACCCTTTGCCTGGCACAAGGGGAATTGTAATTAGTAATATTTGCACATTAAACTTTTTTAACTTATGTTTTGAAAATGTTCGGACAAAACTCCTAGCTTCAAACATATGTTTAAATAACTAATGATATGAACTATAAGTCAAATAAAAAATTCTCGTCGACTTATCTTCTATGTGAAAATAGTGGCCGTAATTAAAAATCATGCAATTTTGGTGTAAACATTTTTTAACTTTATATTACTTAAACTTTTCGAAAAATGTATGGATTAATTAAATTGTTGTTCTAAATAAATTATATATAAACCTTTCATATGACATACTTTTTTTTTTAAATCGTACCATTATCCTTTATACAGAGGAGGTTTTAATTTTTTAAATTTCGAGTAAAGAGTAGAACTTTTTCAACTTAACTCATGTTCAAAAAAAAACATTTTTCTCGACACCTTTTCTTCTATTGGGAATTGGCTGCCGAATTGAACGAAAAATGTTATTTTTATGTAAAAATCACTGTTTAATGTGTTAATATATTTATACTTAACCGTGCTATAACTAAATTAAAAATTAATAAAGCAAAATAATTTTTTTTGATTGAAATCGTATGTATTGTCCTTTTATTTGATATACATTTTTAAAAAATCTGACCATTTATCTTCAAACAGAGGGAGATTCTAAATTACAATTTTTACACACAAGTTAAACTTATTGAGATTAAAAAATAATGTAGTGTCAAGTATTAAAGAAACTTTACCATGTTGCTGAATTTCTAGTTCTAATTTATACTTATTTTATTGTCTACAACCAGATCATAGAATTAAAACATTTATAATAATAATGTATAGAATAAAATTTATTCTATTATTTTAAAACTGTTTTAGCTTTCATACAAATCGCTGAGTACATTTTGTAGTTTTCCATAAAATATGGAAAACGTATTATGGATGAGTATATTGATTCCTAATTCTAATAACACAAAAAATTAAAAGTATTATAGTGTATTGCAAAATTATTACTTTCTTGTTGAATGCCTTCTTTATT